CACAATTTATAACTGGATCTAATATGACTTATGCTACTTGTGTGTTGTTTTATTTACACATAACTTTCATCAATAAGACTCTTTAAGGATAAGTGTGCAAACTAAGACTTGAATAGATTTTTCATAATGTTTTTTCTCTAAATCTTTGGGTTTATGATTTAATTTAATCAAAATATTAATTGAAAGAATTTACACTCAATAAGTTTATATGCTTTAAAATAAATTTAAAAGCTTCTAGTGAATGTATATGTGTGGGTATGTTTTGTTTTATTTTCAAAATCTAATTGTCCCATACATTTTAAGAACCTAGTGGAGTTACAAATAAAGTCCTAACTCAATTATTTATTTATTTATATATTTTTCTTCATGGAATTTTTGTAGAATGATATAATTTAAGTATTTATAAAATTAATGTAAAAATGCATCAAATATTTTTTTATAAAAATTGGTTAAAAACAAAGATCACATTGGTTAATATATACTTAATATCCTAATTTATATTATATTAAATTTAAAATACAAATAAATTTGGTTATTTTCAAAAATATCACAAGAATCTCAAAATATTCAAATACTTCACCAAAACTGAGAACTATTTCTGTGGTTTAATATTATAATAAATCTAAAATAAGTTATGATAACAAGTGGTACAATGAAAGTAAAAAGTGAATATGCCTTTATATTATTGAGTCTTTAATAAGTTTACGGTAAATTTTGAAATTATAAATTGAAATTTTAAATCTTAATAATGAAAATTAAATTATAAATCTTTATATTAAGATATATTTAATTTTAATTAAATTTATATTAAATATATCTTAATATATAGATTAAGATATATCTATTATATATCTTGATATATAGATTTAATTTTCATGATTAAGATCTATCTTAATATAGAGATTATAAAATAATCTATAAGATCTATATAATAAGATATATCTATTGTATATCTTAATCATGAAAATTAAATTTTAAGATATATCTTCATCATAAATTAAATTATAAATCTTAAAAATTTATTCATGTAAGATTAAAGAAAGTCTAGGCTCTTGAGAAGAAATAGATCATTTATCTCAATAAATGATAAAAGATTAACTCATTGTAGACTCAAAATGTTAAAAATTGAGGCAAAAGAATTCAACTAGAAAGAAAATCATGTGTAAAATGGTAACAACTGGAGGTTATATCTATGACAATTATTTTTTAAATTTATCCATTACATGAGAAGTGGGACCCCATTTTTTTCTTTTATACAAAGAGTGCGGTGGACAACACTTGTTGGAATGACACGTCATAAGAAAGATAAGACACATCATAAGAAGAATTGAGGAAGTTAGAGTCCAAATAGAAATAAGAGTCCAAGAGGGCAAAACAATACATTGAATGACTCTCTTAAGTGAATAAGACCATCCAACCAATACCCATTTATGGCTCTATTCTCTCCCCCACCACCAAACTTATCAATATCACTCCTTCCTATCATGGTCATAAAAGTTCACTTTATAAGTTACAACAACAAAACTTCAAAAAAAAAATTATCCACACTATTAATAATTTATCTTTTACATGCACCATATATATATATATATATATATAGAGAGAGAGAGAGAGAGAAAGAAATATAAAATATAAAATAAAATAAAAAATATATATATGTATATATACGTATAATATGTCTCATTTTATTTTGGCTATTATTAAAGAAGTCAATGGCCTAATAATTAATAATTTATTATATGTATATATATATATATATATATATATATATATTATGCATTTGTTTCTACATGGAGGGTTGGACCACTTGAATCACACCCACCCATCAAAGCCGCTCAAAGTCCAAATCCTAAAAAATGTGTGCCCATATGAAAAGAGAACAGCCTTCTCTTTGTTTCTTTTTCATCAAATTGTAGTTGATGAGTGATTATCCATTGATTTATTTTACTTTTTAATTTTGGCCCAATCTATGCCATGCAAGCATGGCCATACAATTCATGGATTTTAATTTGATTTTAATTTATCAATTAATTTATTTTTATATGATGGTTTTGTAGCCAATCAAAGTCAAGCACTTGGCTTAGAACTCTCCATCTTTCACTCTCTTTGTTGGCAATAGAAGGCATAAAGTAGACACAAAAGGTTGGTGAGTGTTTCTTTCGTTTGAGTGGCCTCCTTTTCTTGAGAATTGATCTTTGCTTAAACATGAATTTGACTTTTTCTTGTAGAAAAGTTCATTGAATTGTCGAGTGTTTGGTGCCCCTTTAGAGAAGATCATTTTCATTCATCATGAAAAAGAAATATGAACAAGAAATGGAGGGCCAATAATCTGATGTAACAAAATAGTGATCACTAACAAAGAAATTCAATTTAAGTTATTAAAATTACTTCAGTGGTATAAATCTCTAAAGAAACTCACACAAGAAATTGAGTGATAAAATGATCAATTGTGGTTTAAATTTAATAACCTAGGTCCAAATATTCATAACAATTTTTAATTTTTCTTAATTTTTAATTTTATGGCATTACAATAGCATCAAAGATGCTAATAACTGTAAATAAAAAATCAAACATCAAAAAATGATATTGTGGTGCTAATTTCAATTATATATATATATATATATATATATATACATACACATTGACTTTTCCTATTCACTTTCCCAATGCTTGTCTCCTATCTCAACATTTTGTTCTCCATTCTCATTTGTAGTCCTTGCCTTCTTTTTTTTTTTTTTTTTATATTTTGTACCATTTTTCTCTACTTTGTTTGTCAAGAAGGGATAAACCCTTATGCACCAATACTCCGCACCCTCTTCTTAAATACAATTTATATTCCGATTTTTATCTCCAATATGCTTGTCTTTTGGTCTACTTTGTATCTTGTAATATTTCCATGTTTTCTTAATATTAAAACATGAAAATATCTTGGAATATTTCCATCTTGTAATATTTTCATGTATTTTTTAATTGCAGATGTGTATATAAACAAAAATACATGTTTTAAAAACTAAAAATTCTTGTGGTTGTGTTTATATACATACATAAATAATTTTATAACAAAAAGGACCAAAAAATGTAAAAACAAAGTCCAAAACAAAACAAGCAATATCAATGGTGGAGGTTGATCAAATCCATAACAACCACTTATAATTAAGAAAAGAGTGCTAAAACATTTTAGGAGACAAATCTAACAATATTCTAATGGAGTCTAGTACATTAAAAAGAAGAAGTATATGGAAAGTAAATCGACAATAAAAGTTAAAATTCTTCTTATAAAATATTTTTTTTATAATATAGTCACTTATGTCTATGTTGGTTAATGCATACCTAATCAATCAATCAATTGATCAAAAAAATATTTATTTAGGAATAAATTAGTTAATATTGATAATATCATTTGAAAATGTATGATGGTAACAAATAATAAATATACACATGACATTATAAACTTACAAAGAAATTGATATTTTAAAGAATTTTTTTTTACACTTGTTGACAAAAACCACCTCCACATATTACTAAATTATTAAATACTCCTTGTTGTATTAGTAAAGATACCAAAGATGTTTAAATAAAAATTTAGGATTAGTATTATTATTCTTATTTTTATTGGTATTATTTTTGTTTTATTTCAAATTTAAAACATATTCAAAAATTATGTTTTTTCTAATAGAGCAATAAGAATTTAACCTCCATGTTACATAAACAACACCATAATTTTATGCTTTGCCATGGTTAGAATTTTGACTAACTAATAAAAAAATTACTTTATTTAATTATTTAAAAAAATTATTTTTTATTTAACTTAATTCATTAATATATAATTAATTAATTAATTAATTTTAGAGTTGGTATTTTTATTCTTTTTTAATATTGTTCACACATAGAAACAAGGGACAAGGAGGTTGGAATAGAAAACAAAGAGATTGAGAAGGATTAATTTACCATTATTTGATATATATATATATATATATATATATTATTTATTCAATATAATAAAAATTATAAAAATTATATTCTTAGATTATTTTTTATATCATTTTTATTTTAGAAATAAATATTTTTTAATATTTTATTAAACTATAGATTAAATTAATATTTTTTAAAATAACAACTATAAATTTTATGATCATCTAAATTATTAAAAATTTCTATTATTAATAGTATCAAGTAACTATTTAATTTTACAACATGTATGATGGTATTAGGTCGTCCAATTAAATATATGCATTTTTTTTTTCTTATTTTCTTAAAAAAATTCAATTAATTTTTCATGAATTTAAAGTTATATATATATATATATATATATATATATATATATAGATACATATTTTAAAATTTTAATACTTATAAAACAAAATATACTAGTATATTATATTTTTAAATATAAATAATAGCCACAAAGAATTTTGTGGCTTCTAAGTAAATAACCATTTTTCTTAAAATTTTAAACATAGTGACTTTTCTATATCCCAACTTAAGCATCATTAGTCTTATATGAATAACTATTCCAACAACATCAACAACAACAACAAAAAAAAACATTTTGATTCTAAAATAAAATCTTTGAGCAAGCATACTTATTGATAATATTTAAAACCAAGTATAATAAAATCCAATTTCTATCTTTTGACTACACTATCCTAAGCAAGCAAGCAAGTTACTTAATACAAAGTACAATACAAGGGGGGTCTGTTCTGGTAGGAATAAAGCAGTTGAGCAATAGCTAGGGCATGACTGGCTCCCCCCCTCTCTACACCCATCTCACCCTCTAAAACAACACCACCACCTACACCAACACCACTACACTACACTACAGTGCAGCAGCAGCAGTGGTAGCAGGGGCCAGGACAGAAGACAAGGACATGACAGGACATGAAAGAACAGGACAATGCTCAACAATCCCAATACAAAAGCAAAAACAAAAGCACAAGAAGAAGTAGATTGAATGCCAGGTGAAGAATGAAGCGATGTGTGTCTGTATGTCTGTGGCTCTGGATATATATATATATATGTAAATCTGCACACACACACACACACACACACACACATCCTCGATGATTCATTCTTAGCATTAGCATTACTTGTTGTGCATTAGCATTGCAGAGTTGCTTGTGTCCTGTGAATGGGTTATGAGGCAAGTGAATCAGAGAGCGAGAGAGAGCTAGTCAGTCAGTCAATGAGAGAGTATGTAAGTAAGTGAGTGAGCCAGAGTGAGTGAGTAGTGTGTGAGTGAGCCAGAGTCGGTATATATATAACTTGGCCTTGGATACTTGCTTGGTTTACCCTCTTCGCACACAGCCTACCTCGGCGTTTCATTCTGCGGGACCCAGTTTTGTCCTTTCGTCCCTTTTTTTTTTTTTTTTCTTTTTTGTGGGTCTGATTGTTTTTTTGGTCGTCTGTGTTTAGAGTAATGTAGGTGGGGGAGAGGATCTCGTATAGTACTGTAGCTTTCAAGGTCCTGCTAAGGCTGTTGAGTAGCTACAAGCTTGATTGCAGCACTCGCAGTGTTTTTTTCTTTTAATTCTCACATGCACACACTTGTTTGTGCGCTTCTGAGCTCGTTGTGTGGGTAGCGTGGTGTTGCGGTTGCGAAGGCAGCTGTTGTTGTTGGTCTAGTAGGCTTGAAATGGACTCTCATTCCGGCAACGGGAGAAGTAATGGTGTCGTCGACAAGGGTGAAGAGCTTGAGAACGGGATCTCGGTTGCCGACGGTGTCCATGACCACACAGGTGGTCATGGACGAGGATCGTTCATCAAGAAGGTGGTGTGGCATGGAGGCTCTGTCTACGATGCTTGGCTCAATGCCGTCTCGGCTCAGGTCTGGTCAATTCTCCAGCTCGATCACTTCCCACTCTCCTCCTACTGTTTGCTGCGACATGCAGATCTCTCAAAAGCTCAAATTTCTCGAAACATACAGGGGGGGTGTACGAGGTGTCGGCATTAGGAAAATTTGAATGGTTTACAATCGTTACGACCCATGGAACATTCTCCACTTGCAACGTTGCACTGGCTTTGGATGAGCCCGGTACTAGGTATAGACATGTTACACGATTAAGTCTTTTGGTTTTGGGTTGGTACCATTGAGTTGAGTGTCCGAGATGTGTTTTACCGGCACAGGTGGGACAAGTTATTCTATCGATGCCGACTTCTTACGCTCAAATGGGCTTCAAACTGGGGCTGTTCTTCCATTTTTTCTACGTGATAATCGGTGTGTATACGTGCTACCTTCTGGCGCGCTTGTACGTGGAATACCGAGCTCGGAAGGAGAAGGAGGGTGTGGATTTCAAGAGGCACGTCATTCAGGTAATTCATCTGCCGTCTTCCATCAGTCTACCCACCTCTGGAATTTCTCATCAGAAATCCTCAAGAGAAATTTTCTACGTATTTTGTGTCCACTTTTGGCCATCCGCTGGGGCGTCAGTCCGACAACACGTTTCTAACTGATGTTTATAGGTTGTAAAGCTGCCAATGAAAACATTCATGGAGATTGTCCAGGAGTTCTAAATACCTACAGCACGGGATAAACTTTTTAGGGTTCTAGTAAATACCTCGTCAATTGAGTAAGACTGGTTTCTGGTTGGAGATAAATTCTATTGTTTGTGTGCATCAATTGACCCAGTAGGTGGAATGTTATAGTCATTTGCTGAGGTGAGCAACGATGGTTGTTGTGTGTAAAACAGTACCATGAACTCCTGGGAGCACTTGTTGGACCATGGGCAATGAGAATATCCCTCTTCTTCAACGTTGTCACTGTGGGTGCAGTGTCAGTGGTTCAGATCATCGCATGTGCCAGGTAATGCAATTCAAACCTGGGAAGTAGACTTTCCTCGCTGGAAAGACGTTTCAAGCCAGGATGATAGAGGTGTCCAGATAATCTAATCAGATAAACTGGTCAATAAATTGAAGCCTGTGAGATTGATCTCCACTCGTTTGGAGTACGCTCATCCGATCTATTAAAATAAAAAAATAAAAAATAAAACGTGTTGTTTGCCTGACACAGTAACGCATACTACTTGAACCCCAATCTTAGCAAGCGATCGTGGGCGTTGATTTTCGGAGGACTCTCACTCAGTGTCGACCTACTACCAACGATTCACAATTTTCGTGTCTTCTCATTCCTGGGAGCTTTGACAACAACGTACACTTCATGGTATATGTTGACCGCCGCCATAAGCAGAGGGCAAGTAGGTCTTCTCGCACTTTTTTAACTTCTGCTCGTCCGTTGGCCATAGATATGACTGGAGAATAGACTTCCTCATCCGTTCTTGCCTTGGAACTAGGGAACGCTATTGCAACCCTGTGTTACATGTAAAAGGTCAGACGGTCGTTTTGTTTCGAGCTCACACTGTTTTTTTTTTTAAAAACTTGAGATCTTTGGATGATTGAATTGTTTCCAGTCTCCTGGCGTGAAGCATTCAGCTCCCATCAATGTCGAGTCCTTCTTCACAGGCACAACCAATATTCTGTTTGGTGCAGGAGGACATGCAGTCACCATGTAAGTCTTAAATTAGACCACTCGTGAAGTTCTTTCCATGTTGTTAAAAATCCTAATTCCTCGATGAACTAGAAAAATAAAAGCGGACCTCAATCATGTTTGTTTTGAAAATTTTAGAACGCAATTGCTGAGAGGGAAAACCCAATTCGAGTAACTTTATGTGCACTGACCGTCCATATTGGTAACGGGGCTGATGTGCAGAGAAATCATGCACGCAATGTGGAAACCTGTGAGATACAAATACGTCTACTTAGCCTGCACAATTTATGTGCTATTCATCACCGTGCCGCACTCTTACGCCCTCTACTGGTCGTTCGGTGATGAGCTCCTGCTAAAGAACAATGCCTTGGGCATTTTGCCGAACTCCTACGCACGCGACACGGCTCTCGTCTTCATGATCATCCACCAGGTACAGAATCACCGCCATTTGATGGACCTTGTTTGAAATCTACAAGTTTAAGCCGCATGCACAAGGAACTCAAGATTTGACGTTCCAACAAAAAATAAACAACATACCACTCTCTACAGATCGTAGCATTTGCGCTCTACATCATGCCCCTGAACTTCATCTGGGAGAAGTTCTGGGGAGTTCACCAGTCCCACTACGTGAAGAGAGTGTTGGTTCGACTCCCGCTCGGCTGTGTGCTATGGCTGCTCGCCCTCATGTTCCCTTTCTTCGGCCCACTCAACTCCCTCATCGGGTCCCTCTTCATGACCTTCTCCGTGTTTATCATCCCTTCCATCGTCTACACCATTACATTCTGGACGCCAACAGCTCGGGAGGTAAGCCCCCAATTCCACATACTCTCACTCACTCACACTCACTCACACATACACACACTTTTATACATACAGAACTTCAACACTAGAAACTGAGAATGCACTCAGCTTCACCTAATCATCCCTCTGAATCGAACTAGATCACAATTCTCATGACTGTACCTGTGCATCCAATACAATACAATCCAATACAACCCAATCGACATGTCTGCAGAATGCCGCCGAGCAACCTGGCAAGGTGAGAAAAGCAATAGGCTGGTGGGGAATGGTGACACTAAACTTCACCGTGATTGTGTTGATCGCTGTGTTGGGAGTGGGATTCGGCAGCTACGCCAGTTTCAGCAACATCATTCGGCAAGTTGAGAACTTCGGCATCTTCCAGGCGTGCTATCAGTGCAAACTCTGAGAACTCCCTCCCCTCCCTCCCTAGAAACCCAGTTTGTTTGTTAGTTTGTTGCACTTCCCCGTGCAGATTCTGCATCAAGTTTAGATGTTAAATATGATTTTTTTTCTTCAAAATAAACTATGTTTTTATAAATAGTTGAGTGTAAGTGATATTTTTTTAGCTTTTTGATAATTATGAATTAAAGCTTATTAATAGTACAATAGGTTTAAAATCAAGTACATTATTATATATTGATATTATATAAGTCACAAAAAATAAAAGTGTTCTCTTGAATTTTTGTGAAATTTATACAAATATATGCAAATTTTTAAAATATAATTATTTTATCAATAGAATAAACGTTTTTCAATGATATTTCAAAAAACTAAATTCTGAAAATGTATTTTTTAACAAATTGATACAAAGAAATCAAAATGATTAATTTATATAATCAATTTTTTGATTAAATTTAGTAATTTTTTATTACATGTTCCTATTTTTTAAAGCTTGTTTTATAACTAACATTAATAAAAATATTCATATTTTCTATTCCAAGTTCCGTATGTGCATCTTGAAGTTTTTTAATCATGTTGTTTTTAAAAAAAATATATGGATATTTATTAATTAAATTTATTATTTTATTATAAAATTAATATCAAGTTTACATTTAAAATAGATTCTTTTTTTTATTACACATAGTATAACAATAAAATAGATTAATATGTATTATCACAAACATATATATATATATATATATATATATATATTCTTCAATATTTTCCTATATGATTAAGTAGTAGGTAAAAATAGATTTATTTCATAATATTTTTTAGAGTAGCTTTTTAGAAGCTTCATAGACATTGCTTTGACTTTATATGTATTTGTAATTGATTGGTAGGTTAGAAACTTAGTCAACAAGTTGACAACATATTGGTAGCTTATGAAACAAGCTAACTATGTGGTGCACATATAGAAAACTTGCCTTGCAAGTTAAGATACGTATTTTATGAAGTCAAGACGTTTTGAAGGTCTTATAGGACATTGCCATGTAGCTCATAGTTAAGAGTATATATAAAGGTAAGAGTGAAGCCTTCTTTATTCTTGTCGATGCCTTTCTAGTCTTTAGTCTTGTTTTCAAAACTTTCTAGTATTCTTGTCTTTAGCAATAGCTATTCTAATTTAATATTATATCATCTTTGAGTGATTATCTAATCTTTTCAAGTGATATAAGAGCGACTTGATCTTTTGATTCTTTAAGATTCATGTCCTTGATATATAGTGTAAGAGTTTTTGCAATATTATAGAATTAAGAAATAAAAAAGATAAAAATAAAATATTTTGTAGTTTTTTTAAAAAAAATTAATAATATTCTTTCATAAATCCTACTATAAAAAAATAACATCTTTGTGCATAATTTTTTTAATTAAAAATTATATTTTATAATGTTTTTTGAAAAAAAATTAATCATGATTTTAGTTAAGATGCATCAATTTATAAGCCTATTACACTTAGTTGGATTTTATTGTATAAATTATAGATGAGATTATTTATACTTTTTTAAAGTAATATAATATTTTTATAAAATTTTAAATGATGATAAAGAATTTGAAAAACAAAAAATCATACAAAAAAACAAACAAAAACATTCTAATAAATCTAATTACTAAAAAGTTGAAATCCAATAACAATTTAAAAAGAAAGAAATATTATTTCAAGTTTGAATATATTTATATTAAGTACTTTTAAATAATAAAATTTTAATTTATTACATACAAAAAGAAAATCTTAATTACTTATTATAATATTTATATTATTAATATGTACACTTATTGAGCAATTGTTTACTACTTTTTTTTAATTTTTTAAGAACAAAATAGCAACTAAGAATGTTGGAGTGAATCTAATATTTTTTTATTGCACCCTCCAATTTCATAGTTTTTTTTTTCAATAGCATCTTTTATTTCTTTTGTTTGAACGACAATAAGATTAATAAAAAAAATGAATTTAAAATTAAAAAGAACACCCATAATATCAAATATAGATTGTTTATTAGTTATAAGTTTATTTTAAAACTTTTAATATATTTCACCTAATCCTTCAAAAATTATTTATTTATATTCGAAATTGTTTTACTATAATTTCAAGTAATAATGACAAAGTCCTAAAAATATCTAAAACACCATCTAATCCCAAATGATACATATCAAGGCATCAATGCACCCTTTGACCTTTACCGAATACTGTCAACATCTCAACTATTCAATCCAAATGAAGAAAAATCGACACTCTAAACATCCAACAGTGTAAGAATGTGTGTGTGTAAAAGAATCATAAGATTTCCAATTGGTAACTATGGGCTTGAAACATTCAAAACATAAAACTAGAAACTGGTAACGTGGACTAAGAACGATTGCCATTACTTCATCACAAAAAAAAAAAAAAAGAAAAAAAAAAAGGTCGTGAAATGCACTGAAATACGTTATTTGCATGTCATACATACATACACACACACACATATATATATATATATATATATATCAAACGTCTTCACTCACACCGCATTGTTGGGTGTCTAACAAGCGTGATCACTTTCGATGGTTTCATGAAAACAACAGGAGGCCAGTAGTAGTAGGAATGGAAGTATATATATGTATCGAAATGGCAAGGTGGGCATAATTCTCTCTTTTTCTCTTCAGTTGAGGAGTGAGTGAGTAAGTGCACTCTACTCCTCCTTCATCTTCTTCTTCAGCTTGAAAAAAGATGATCAAATCTGAGAGTTCTCGGCGTTTACTAGACAAGTAAAGCATTGCGGCAACAAGGTCCCTGTAACCCACAACGGTTCCCATGAAAACGCTCATTAAATTCTTATCTAGAAAAAAGGGTAAACTTGCAGACCATCTTTTGAGAAGGTGTAAGCAGACCAGGACCATGCATCGAGCCTAGAGGATCGAGGCAATCTAATCGAGAATATATGTGAGTGAGTGAGTGTGTGTGTGTTAGATTGGTGCATGTAGGTGGCCAGAACTGATTCCACATCAGGGAATGAGTTAGTTGGGGGATGAGTTGCATGGTGTGATTGGACGCCAGTACGTTGGTTCGTTCTTTTTTGCTCCAGGTCTGTGTCGAGATGCAATTGTGGTCAGGATACTGTTGGATTAATGTTTGGATCGGTGATAGTACACCACCAAGTGAGTGTTGACAAGGGGAATGATGCAACAGACATGCAGCAGCGCATGCCAATTGAATAATTGTGTCACAGTACAAAGCGTGGGGAGGGGGGGGGGGGGGGGAGCTTGTGTCAATGTGGGCAATGAATCTGGTATTCTACACGACGACGGCATTTGAATGACATTGCTCTTTACGGTATTACACACGTCTTCAAATCTACATGAGAAACAGTCCACTCGCAAAAAAAGGAATACTGTAAAGATAGCCACTCGGCTATTAAGTGAGGCACATTCTTACATAAGCGTTTCGTAACCAGAGTGAGGCCACTCACTGCACCGGAAGTCACAGGTCTAAACTGTGTGACCTGTGAGTTGTTGTTGTTGTCGTGTTTTTTTTACTATTATTTATTTTATTTAATAAAAATCTTACGATATCTATTGCGTGTGTGTGAGATCACTTTCCTAGGGTTGTAGATCCACTCTCAAATGGATTGAGAACCCCCCATAAGTCGCCATGCTATTCGTCTTGCTCCCCGGGCTGTTGGGCAGAATGTGCCAGAACCGCTCCTTCAAGTCATACAGCCACCGGTCACCCGTGATGGCAGAAATGAAACACAGTCCCTCGGGCTCGTCGATGCTGCTGTACTCACACACTTTGAAGTGATCCAGAAACTGTTTGGAGGGACCCGGAGGAACATTGTCCAGGAGAGTCACGGCGCGCAAGCCTGTGGGGTCTAGCTCCGAGATTTGAAGCTTATCAGAACCCTCGTACTTGGCTTTCATGACGCGGCTGACGATCAAAATGCGGCCATGGTGCTGCACCAGATGCACTGGGCTATACATGCTCGGAATCGCAACGTGGTACGATGCCCACACACCCGTTTCCATGTTATACGTCGAAATCCCGCTCTGGCACTGCGTGGCTCACACGAGCGTGTTTCCTCTCACGATTGTTTGGTTGGGAAACCGGCCATTGTACGGGAAATTGTGGCGCGATGGTACACCGCCGGACTCTGTCCACGCCATGCACGCCGAGTCGTAAGTGCGCGTCGCCCGCATGTCGTGGTCGATGAGGATGATTTTGTAGGATCGGGTGGAATTGTCCACCAACATGGCTGTGAAGTGCGGCATGTTGTAAATCTTGGATTCATCCCACGGGGGGATGACTCTGAATGCGCGGGTTGCAGGGTTGCAGACACCGTGCACCACTTCCCTCTTCGTCGCAGTCGTATTCCATTTGTAGCCAACGAAACAAAATAATCCTTCGTTCACAGAGGAGATGTAGAAGCCACGACATGGAAGACAGTCCAGGGACATGTTGAACCACTTCTTGGAGATGGGGCAGTAGAGGGAGCTTTTGCGGAGGTTGAAGAGCTCCGGTCCAGACTGGAAGTAGGAGAAGGCCCAGGACGCGGGCTCATTGTAGGTGAGCACGTAAGACGGACACTGCATCGTCACATCCCGCTGCATGGATAAGAACCTGGACAATTGCAGGAGGTGGTTCCACTTCATACAGACGGCTCTCATGGGCTGGAGGAGCGGCAATGGGAGGTACGAGAGAATTTTCTCCAAAAAGGGGTCGGAGAGAGTGCTCCAGAGCACGGGGTCCATCCATCCCACTTCTCGGCAAGTGTTGCTGCTGGTGAGAAATTTACTTGAGAGGGCAACGTTTGATCCTGCAACAAGTGATCCCAATACTGCAGGGTCAGCAAGCAAGCAATCTCCTACAATAACACTCATCCCCAATATATACAAGTCCCACTGTTCTTGACAAATACTGACGCATTGTAGAGCGAGTCAAACACACCAGGATCAAGGATCCAACACACCAGGCATCTTGAAGTTGATAGTATCTGTAGGCGCCTCGATGTACTTTGTTGAGATTGCTAAGCAGATTGTCAACGACTGACGACCACTTGCAAATCCTGCAACCGAAACTGGAACACCTTGCAACAGTGCCGGGACTCAATCACCTACAGAAACATCGCTCGTACCACCAAATCGACAAGAAGAGGGAGATGCATATCAGGAGCAGCGTTCATAGAAACTTCAGTTTTGGTCCATTCAGAGATTACGCGAGAGAAGCCGTGTAAACTCCGGCGGATGGAAGCCCATACACATGAAAACCGAGGGTGCGGTGCAGACGGACAATGCTGGGAGCTGCTGCAACCTGATGTCCGTGAGAAAATCCGAAAGCACGACACCAAATGCAACCATCTTCATTCACGAAACTCTCGGAAAATGAGAATGGATACAATGTAGACTAGTTACGGCGTGAGAAATAACAACAACGGTTGCTCTTCAACAACGTGACCTCAGTAATCCACTATTCCTCCATGGAACCAACCAGTCTTCGTACAAACCCACACCCACCAAAGCAACACAACTAAGCTCTGGAAAGGAGACGCAGCACCTAGAGCCGCGAGATGGTAGAGGAGGAGGAGGAGACTCCTGCTGTAGAAGAGCATGAGAATCAATCAGTGAATCCAACAAAACAACTGCAGCGCAAGGGAGCAAATATGTATATATATATATATATATATATACATATATATGAGAGAGAGAGAAGGGAAGAAAGGCGATGAAACTATAAAAAAAAAAGCTCTCCCGTTCCGTAGCTCTCTACAATATATGCTACGGTATGTATACTCTACGGTAGAACCTGGAAGCCTACGACGGGCAGTGGGTGCCCATGAGGAAATTTTCCACATAGGGCACCTACCCGCTGCCAGGGAGTTGGGGTACTCGGGGCAAGAAATATATATATAAATTATTATTATTATTTATTTTCCTGTGGTTGTGTGTGCAAGGTCCGGGCAGCACCCTCTGCACACGTGGTCACTGGATAGACATTGAAAAAACTAAAACAAATATCAAATGGTTAATTACCACATCAAATGGATACACATATATGTGTATATAGTTTACCCATAAAAATCATTTATATATATATATATATATATATATAGATAGATTTTTTTAAAAAAAAATAGTTATTGAAACAGAATTAATTTTTTTTGAATTACTAAATTTATGGTACTTCAGGTGGTTGTGTGAAGTCATTTGACCAATTTTGATTACGTGGTAATTTGCCTCTTAAAAAAAAACTAATACAATGCAGAAAATGAAAGTAAACAAAGGTTTATTTTGATTACAATTTTTATTGAATCATTTCAAGGATGGGAATGTTCAAAACATATATGATGATAATAATAATAATAATAATAATAAGTATTAGATTGTCATTACTTGTGTTTTATGTGGTTAAATAATTACATAGAATTGTGAAATATTTATTAAATTTCCTTGATTTAAAAAATAAAATAAAATAAAATAGATAATTTTATGTGGAAGAGTCTGCAAAATTACAGATTTTTACATTTTTGTTATGAGAAGAAAATTTACAATTTTCATGATAGTTATGTGTTTTCTTGTAATTTTTTTAATTATCTGTAAATAAAATAAAATAAAATAAAACATTAAGTGTCATATCACTTACCTCTTTCTAAAATATTTTTTTTCATAATTTAGCTAAAAGCTTCTTTTAAAACTTTATTTTAGAAAATTTAAATTAACAAAAGATAAAACTACACTCAACCAAACAAACAAATAAATCTCTTTCATGATCTAAAACCAATAAAGAAGAAGTGAGACATTATTTTGAAAGGGTGGCCATTGCAAGGTGTCAAAACCCATTTGAAGCTTTATGACAAAGTCCAAAGAAGCTTCAATCTTTCTTTACATAAAGAAACAAATCGAATTGTAGGCCCTTTAGAAAAGGTACTTTTGAATAATATATATATTTTTTTTAATTTATTTTCCTAAAGTCTATAGTTGGTGGTAATTGAATTCTTTCTTTATCTATTACTTCTATCACTTATTCAATGCATGTATTTTTGTGATGTGGAACGTGAGGCAAAGTTTCACTATATGGATGCCCACATAGTATCTCAAATAAATCATGCTCATGGAATGCTCTTGGTGTTGTTGTGTGCTTATATAATAAAGATAATATTTATTTTATTTTAATAATTAAAATTCTTAATATATAATATTATTCTTAATTTTTTAAAAAACTCAATAATTATTAAAGTATATAAGTAAAAATAAAAATAGAATAAATTACCTTACAGAAGATATTATTTTAAATAAGTTGCTAATGGTCAAAAGATTGACTCTTGGTAGTTAAAAAGGATATCCTAAGAATATAGGATGACATCAAGGACCAAGAGTCAAAGTCAAGAGGATAAAGTATGAATTAGAAAATATCCAAAGAGAAGATAAGAGTAATTAGTATTTGGCATAAGATACCCTTGTGGTTAATAAGATGCCAAAAGATCCTAGGACTATAAAATACCGTTGAGATGAATTAGATGCTAAAGAATCCTAAGACCATAGAATATCCTTGAGGTAAGTTAAATGCCAAAGGATCCCAGAACCATGTGTGTAAAAGTCAAAAAGTAGAAGTTATCTTCTAAAGCAGCAACTACTATCTATAAGTATTGGGTGTTGGAAGTGAGAGACATCTTACTCCATAATCTCTTTGTGTATAACATTCTTGATGCTAAGTATAGTAACTTCATAGTGTTTGTTCTTCAATAAGTTATAGGCCCACACATCTTTAGTTATAAGTTTTGAAGTTCTTTGAAGTCTTATTTGTTGTAAAGAATAGATCTTTTGGTTGTTACTGATGTTAGCATTTGATATCATCTAATTCTATTATTGTATCTAATTGTTGATGTAGTTTTACTCTTACTTGTTGTTAAGTGCATTGATAATCTTGAAGGTTGTTAAATACCTTAAAATGATATTTTAGAAGACTAATATTATATTTTTTTGTTGATTTATATCATTTGTAATCTAACATTGTGGTTTTAAGTGATAAACTTTCCTTAAAATTCTCTTATAGTGATAAGAAGTATTTTGTGAGGTTAAAAGTATTTCATGAGAGAAGAGGGATGATTGAAGAGTAGAAAAGCTTATACAAGAGGTTTAAATGGAGTATAAGACTTATGAGAAGTCTTATAAGTGAAATTGAGTGTGATTAAAGAGTGATATTACTAATTCACTCACAAAGAGAGCATTTTGGGTTTCCAAGATAATAATATGTTCTTATTGATTTTGAAAGCTCTTTCTTCTCTTTTCTTGATTTTTTTGATACATCCATTTTTTAGACATGGCTTCAAGTAAAGGTGAGGATTTGAGAGTGATTAAGAAATTTAAAGGTAACAATTTCTACCATTAGAAGAAGAAAATGGAGCTTTTGTTGACTTCATTGGACCTTGGAGACATTGTAGCTGAAAGTGAAGAGCCTCCAAGTAATAATGTTGATGTCAAGGTGAAGAAGGAGTATAACCATTGTGAAAAGAAGGCTTTTGGTATGATTGCATCAAATTTGGATGATGCTAATTTTTCACATGTAATTACTTGTAATGGACCAACAAAAGGATGGAAGACTCTTTGCAACATCTATGAGAGCAAAAACCTTATCAACATTCTATAGACAAGGAAAAAGTTCTTAATGATAAAGATGGAAGAAAGAGATGACCTCATGGCTCATATCAACAATATAAAAGCACTTACAAACCAATTAGTAGTTTTTGAAAAGTTTGTTGATAATAAAGACATTATGTTGACATTGCTCATGAGCCTCCCAAAGTCCTACAACTATCTTATTGTGGCATTGGAGTCTATTAACATGAAGAAACTTACTATGAATTATATCACGTCAAGGCTTGTCCATGAAATCATCAAGAAAGAAAGAAAGAAAGAAAAAAAAAAAAAAAAAAAAAAAAAAAAAAAAAAAACCTCCAAAGTGATGATTTGGTTCTATTTTCAAGACAAAGAAAAGATAGATATTTTCATCAACTTGATCATTCAAAAAATAATATAAAAAATTACTATATTTATCAAAAATTAGATCTCTTTGCTAGAAATTACTACAAAGCCAAGAAAGAAGATATGAAAAATACAAATAATACTTGTAATAACTTTAATGGAGATGACTATACTTTCATGGTAAGTGAAAGAGCTTCCATGGCTGCTATGTCCAATTAGATTATAAATTCAGGTACTACTAAGCACATGACACTATACAAATATTCATTTAACACTTATAAAGAAATTCTAGCAATCAAAGTTTGGTTGGGAGACAATGGCATGGTACAAGCCATTAAAATTGGATCCAATGTTGTAGAAATTTTTATAAAGGACAAAATCAAGTCAAAAGAAGTCTTACAAGTGCCAAAAATATATATATATATATATATATATATATAAAAATAAAAAAAATAAAAAATAAAAAACTCTTTTTGGTGAGCAAACCTATATCAGTTAGTTGTAAGATTCAATTTAATAAGAATGGATGTTTTGTAAAGACATTGGATGGATAACATATTTCCAAAGGCTTTAGAGATGGCAACCTCTACTTCATCAATTACAAGAAGGTGAATAAAGTAAAAATGGCAATGTTTGCTAATTTTTTACAAGACCAAGACAAGTTTGGAATTTGACATCAATGACTTGGTCATTTAAATACCAAAAGTATGAAGGAGCTCCAATCCATAGTAAATGGCTTAGATCTTGGTTAATTTAGCCATAATACCTTAATACTTGCTTGTAAAGATTATATACAAGGCAAACAAAAAAGATCTTCATTTCTAAGAGGAGTTGTAACATGTACAAGCAAATTATTAGAGATTGTATATTTTGATGTTTGTGAACCAATGAAGATACCATCAATTAGAGGAGGAAGATACATTGTCACATTTATTGATGATTTTTCAAGAAAAGTGTGGATTTACATCATTAAAGTCAAGAGTGAATGTTTTTCAAGGTTTAAGGAATTTAAGGCTCTTATAGAGAAACAATGTGAGTGTAAGCTCAAAGTATTACACACGGATAATAGAAGTGAGTACATTTCAAAATATTTTGATGAATTCTTGAGGATTCAAGGTGTTGCAAGA